CCAGCTCCGGAGCCACGGCACCTGCGGGCCTCCGGCCGCGCTCTGCCCTCGCCCGGCCCCACCAGCCTCGGGGCCCGCCGCCGGACCCCTGCACGGTTCCGGGCGCGCAGTCGCCCCCGAGAGCCCCTAGCGTCCCTGGAACCGCCCCCAGCTCACGCCCCATCTCGCGCCCGGCTCCTGATCTGAGGAGCACGGGGTTCCTCCCCAGGAAGGGGACTCGAGGGGGGTTAAAGCAGAAAAGTGGTTTTCAGATCTGCTTTGTAGAAAGATCGTCCTGGCTTCTGTAACGGGACCGTGCGGGCCCAAAGTGGAGACGGACACAGTCCCCAGGCTAACGCCATGCCCGGGTGAGAACTGAGGGACCTGAACTAACCCAGCTGCAGAAGGGATGGGGGACGGTCTGTGACTTCCGGAGGTGACTGGAATAGAGGGACTGCATGTGGGAGATGAGGAAGGCACAAGGTGATGGCGCAAGTTTAACCTCCTGCCAGACACCACTTAGTAGAGACCTAGACTGGAGCCGCAAAATGGGGATCCCTGCGCCTGTAGTGCAAGCTGATGCCGTGAGAAATGGGTGTCAGCACACAGGCCCTTCTTGAGTCTGTTAGACAAATCAGGGCTGAGATGCAGCCAAGTTCTTTCTCTCTAGCTGTATTTGTTTGCTTGTAGCCTAGCACTACCCCGCGGCACTTCTCAGTTGTTTTTTTTTTTTTTTTTTTCCCCTGGTACCGGGGGTCGAACTCACGACCTTGCGCTTGCCGGCAGGCGCTGTGCCGCTGAGCTAAATCCCCAACTCCTAAGCTTTTCGTCACTATACACTTGCCTGTGCAGTCAGTACCTCCTGCGTTGAACCTGGATAGACTGCACCTGCGTTTGTTGTTGAGTGACTAAAAATGCACATTCGTCCCAATACTGTGACTCCTTTACACCAGCCCTCATCATTTGTTTCTCCCTGGCATTACTGTTAGCACATTTTCAGTGTGGTTCCTTCAAAGTTATTAGTATGGTAATTTGTTAACTTTTAAATTTTATTCGCTCCTTTTTTGACATAAAACTGTCAAAAGGTTTTCCAGAAATGTAATGGTGAATCACCCTGTTATTCAAATTTCGCTTGAGATAAGGCAGACTCATCCACAGCTCTTAGTGGACTTATGACCTAGTCTGGCTAACTAGATGGGAAATGATTTAGGAATGGTCACATGATTTCAGCAGAACCAATGAGTTGGTGCAGGGACTCAGGAACTAAGGAAATCATCTTTTTCAACTGTGTTGCTAAGCTAGTAGAAGACCTGGAGCCGCTGGCAATCATCTTTGCAACCATGTGGACAGAGCTGCTTTGGAAATGAAGCAGATACAGAAGAAAGCAGACCTAAGAGGAGACAGATGTTTGACTACTTGTGCAACTGGAAGCAACAGCCCTGGATATAAGCACTAAATCTGGTTGAGTTTGTCACTGCTTAGTTTCAGTTAAGCAGCCCAAGTTAAACTCGCTGGTTTGTATTTGTGGAACTCCTCCTTGTCTACTAAGTGGTATGTCTATATCCACCAGCCTTCTTGCCCCATAATGACAGTTGCCCACATAATTCCGACTTTGAATCACTGGATCTGTGCCTTGCCTCTCCTTCCTCATCCCATACCAGCAATAATGCAACTTCCTTCATATGATTTAATCCTTACCTACCTGTTCAGCTGCAATTTAACCTTCCAGGATACTGGAACCTCCCTCCCCCAACGCTACGCCATAACATTGGCTATATAACTGCCCATCTTCTATGCCTTGTTTCAGCTGTTTCTCCAGGGACCACTTCTGATAACTCAAAGTGCAGGGCCTAAAAAGTCTACACGTGTAGTATCCTTATGGACCTTTAGAATTTTCTTTTTTTTTTTTGAGACAGGGTCTCGAGCTGCCCTTGAACTCACTATGTAGCCTAGGCTGGCCTGGAACTCACAGCACTCCTCCTGCTTCAGTCTCCCAAGGGCTGGGATTATAGGTGTGCGCCACCACACCCAGCTGCTAGAATTATCAATGTAGCTATGTGCTGGCTCCCACTGGTATGTAGGCCACATAAGGTCAGTATTTTGCTTCAGTAATCTATGTCACCAGTGTAGCACGCTATGGGACAAAGAGTATATGCACAGTGGTTACTGAACAGAACTAAAAGCAATTAGAGTGCCACAGGTTTGAACTGAATTTGAATCTTTACAAACAGGATACACAGGAAAATCTCACCACTCTTGGCCTTCCAAATTAGTCACAATAGAACAGTTCATGTGTAATTTTTATGGCAAAAGCAAATAAAAGACAAGTTTTACTTTGTTATGATTAAAATTCCTTTATTCTCAGGATATAAGCCAATTAATTCTTCCTATAGTTTTTTTTTTTGGCTATGAACTGAGATTCTTTTATCTTCATTTACATTGCCCCATGACTCCTACTTTTCATAAAGATACTGACATTTGAGCTAACGCAGAAAACTTAGGCAGGACCTCTTTGGATGAAGCTCTTTTCCTCATCAGGATGATTTTTTAATTATAGTCATTTTTTAAAATAGAGCCTCCTAGCACTCACACACATCATAATTTTTGCAAATCCAATCTGGAGAAGCTTGTTATGTACCAGCTATTTGAACTTGCCTGAGCTTTTGTGAAAAACCAGCTACCTCTCAATTACCACTTCGCCAGACTGCTGTAAGGAGTAAATGAGTGATAACCTACTAAAGGAGTTGTCTAAGGAAATGGTATTCGAAGTACAGGTTGGCCATAAGAAGCTTGGCTCGAATCCAAACCAATAATCTCTCTTCACTTATCAAGTTACTACAGAAAAAGTCAACTGGGCAAAGCAGTTACATTAGTTACTTACATTCTGCTGAAAACTCCCCTCCAACCCCCAGAATAGGAAGAAAAAGCTTAGGGTGGCCGCCAGTGTAAACTTGTGGATCACCTACCGTCTTTCAGTTTTGGTATAAGCTCCACAGCCTCAAGTAAAACCCAGCCCCTTCTGCAGCAGACCAGAGGCATGTGCCTCTGCCAGTAAGAGGCATCCATGAAGTTTCTGATGGAGACACACAGACGGCCCAGGCAGAGGCGCTGAGCTTTCAGGAGGCTTCATAGTGGACACTGACATCTAGTGGTCAGCGATAATGGTGCAGGCTGAAGTAACCCTCCCTAAGGGAGGTAAGGTACCCACCCCTAGGGGATTTGCTCAAGGCCCCCAGTCCTGTTTGAACATTGTTTCTGGCTGTGGCACTTTAAAGCCCAACTCTGGCCCAAAGATAATTGTTTGGGTTAACCCACTGTTTTGTTTTGCTTTTTAAAATAAAGTCTGAGGGGGCTGGGGATTTAGCTCAGCGGCAAAAGCGCCTGCCTGGCAAGTGCAAGGTCGTGAGTTCCGTTCCCGGTACCGGAGAAAAACAAAAAAATAAAATAAAATAAAATCTGAAATACCTTTTAAAGACTTAGCCATTAGATAGTCTTACAAACATTACTTTTGCAATCACTTTTAAATATGAAACAAAGAAAAATTCCAAACCAATTGCTAACTTTTTTTTATACAAATTGAATGTTAATCTATATACATCACATTCATTTTTTAACCCTACTTGGCTCAAATCTAAAAAAAAAAAGGTCAAAACAATTCCAGCACTGCTATTTGAAACCTAGAATGCAATTGTAATTTGTCTGAAACTAATTCTGCTAATATTTCTCCTACAATAATGGAAAATAGCTGTTTGGGGCAGGGAAAGTTTTAAGGATACATGCTACTACTCAACCTCAAGGTTTATTAAGTCCCATTTTCCCTTTTCCCCGTCCTACAATCAGGAACATGCAAAAGATGTACCAGAAATCGAACTCAGGACCCTGCGCTTGCCAGGCAGGAACTTGTGCTGCTGAGCTGTATCCCCAGCCCCTGGTATTTAGCTTAATTTTGGAACTTCTCTTTAAAGGCTAAAAAAAATTTTAGCTACTAAATTATATTCAATGATAACCTTCCAAATTTAAGCTGTACTCAGAATCCACCGAACCAGCAAAAATCTCAAGTTCCCACACTAAAATAGAAGTGTGTTCAGACACATCCTTTAATCAGTCATTTCTTACTTTCAATATATTTTATTCTGATGAAGTTACAAAAGTAGATACAAAATATGCTTTTTAAAGTACAGTTGACTGACTTAGAAAAATAGATAAAGCCCCCCAAAGATGTAAAAATACAACATAAATCTTAATGCAAAGAACATTTAAAAATATTTTGGATGGTAATCAAGACTAACTTATGCAAACTACTTTCAATGTAGACCAAATACAAAATATTGCTGTATAATAAATCCATAGCACACTGGTGATCCTTTTGGATTTACAGAATACTTGTTTGTCTGATAAGGAAAGAAAATCCAAGTGACTTTCAGTGTAGTTGTTTTAATAAAATTACTGCTACCACATGGACCATCACCACCCAAAGCCTTTTACCGTCTGAAACATCAAAACTGAACGCAAAAGAAAGACCAAAGAACCACTTTCCCTCTTTGCCAGACTCTACAATAGTAGAAACCAAACCCACAGAGAAGCGACCTCAGAGGAATCATGTGCCTGTTGAAGGTGCTCAGTGCCTGGGGTACAGGCTGGCATTATCCGGGCCAGAGTTCCCTTGGACAGGAGCCAGCCTCGTACATTTCTCGGATTTGCACTCTTTGGGCCTGACTTGTTTATTCATATGAGGTAAGACATCATGCTGGAGATGTCAGGTTCCTCTTGCCTCTGAACTACTAGAAAAACTACCTTTGTTATCAAAGTCATGGTGAAAAAAGATTTACATTTGCGGAAGCAGCACCTAAGCCAGAGCTCTGCAAGTCTAAGATGAACGGAATACCCTGTTAGCTGCCAGCCCTGTAGAGATGAAGAAGGATACATGTGGCTGTCAATATAAAAACAGTAGTACGAAGAAGTCAAATAAACAAATATCTGTACATCATGTCCAAGTTTTTAAAAAGGCTTGAAAATTAAAGCACCACAGGATGACCTGGATCATTTGGCAAGCACTCTCCACCCCTGACTGTAATCACCACCGAGGAGCAGACAGGCCACTGAAAGGAGAGGACGTCCGCGTAGCAGGGAGAGTGAGGGAGTGCTGGAGACCCTGGGCTGGGGCAGAAGATCAAAAGTGAGAGAAGCCCAGGACACACTCGCCCGACTGCCTCAAGCCCTTATCAAAGGCTGGCCCTCTCGCCAGGTCAGGAGGGGCCGTCCTCCTCCCACTCCCTCCCCCGTCTCCATCCTCTTGTCTCAGAAGTACACAGTGTAATGCACTGTTGGTTAAGCTAGACTGGCTTGGAAACTTCATTTTTTTGTTTAAAAAAAGAAGGAAAGAAAAAAAAAGAAGGGAAGAGAAAGTTTTAAAAAGGGCATTCTAAGTTTCACAACTACCGACAAGTTTCTGGTTTGTGTACCACTGCTGAGCCACCTTCACTGCTGTCCCCGCGTGTGACCACCTTTGGCTGGTTCAGGGGCTCAGTCATGAGAAGGGGCTTCTATCATTGAAATAAATGGAGAGAAGCAAGAACGCTTTTATCTGAAAATATGTGAAACACTAGCAATGACGTACAATGAGGCAGTAAGGAGGGAGATGCACCTAGAAACTTGTTTTGTTTCCAAATAATCAACATTAAAAGGACAAAATGGCTGATATTTGGTCCTCTGGGTAAGTTGAAAACATGGGTTGTGGGATGTCTCATACAGGGCTTTTCTTTTTTTAATAGGTAAGTGATTATGCCATTTTTTAATTCCTCAATGGTTTCAGCCTAAATTAGATCAAATACTTCCTTTAAAGTCTTTGTATCTTTAAGCATTTTTTGAAATTGAGTTATTAAAAATGGGGTTTCTGCCAGGTGTGGTGGTGCATGCCTGTAACCCTGGCACTTGGGAGGCTGAGACAGAAGGATTGCTGTGAGTTCGAGGCCAGCCTGAGCTACACAGGGAGTTCAATGCTCAGCCTGGACTACACAGCGAGACCTTGTCTCAAAACACCAAGGAGGGGAACAAAATGGAGTTCCTAAGTAAGTCTGTTCTTTATAATTTAGTAGAATAATGGAAGTAACAGAAAACCTTATCAGATGTAATCTTTATCAAAGCTGTGAGGTTGGTGAGTGCTTCCAAAAAATCACAGGTCTGAACAGGCTGCTGATAAAGTAAAGCTCTGCCGGTCCGGCAAGTCTTCCAGGGTACCTACTATGCCTCAGTACATTTGAATAGTTGAGGAACAGTTAAATCTAAGGAACCCGATGAAAAAGGCGTTTCCTCACTAAAGGGGAAGATGACAGTATCTTAATAAAAAGAGAAAAATTTCAAGTTTTGATATAAAAATAATTAAAACAGGATAAAGCCCCTATGGAAGCTCAATCTATCCTTTATTAACAGTATGAAATTAAGATTCTACTCTGGAGGCGGAGGCAGGAAGATCACAAGTTCAAGGCCAGACTGGGAAACCTAAACCTGACTAAAAGGGCTGGGATGCAGCTGTGGGACAGAGCCCCTGCCTCGCCATCCCCAGAACCAAAACACAAAAACCACAGAGGTAATTTTTATAGGAAACAAAATAGACAAGTACTCTGAATACTTTAATCTTACCGAAACTGCAAGGCCTCTAAAAACAATGTGAATGAAAATAGTGGCTTTGAGACCTAAGTTTGTCATATATTTTTAGCTTTCTTTTTCTCAACCAAAAGCTACATATTAATTAAAAAAAAAAAAAATTTAAAATGAAAACATACAAACCACCCTCAGAAGCCTAAAAATATTATTTCTGATATATGAATACTCCTAATAATTTAGACAGATGTGAATACAATCCCAAAGAAAGATTAAAAATAAAACCAATTTAAAAATAACTTTGGTTACTCCCATATGCCATGATTTAAACTGCAATCATGAATTTTAAAAAATATATACTCTTATCTATAAAAACATGGGCATACAAACTTGAAACTAAATGGTTATCCAAAGTGACACACAGGTTCTACTTAAACAGGGTCTCACTGTGTAGCCCAGGCTGGGCTCAAACTCACAGCAATCCTCCTGCCTCAGCTTCCCAAGTGCTGGGATTACAGTGTCACCACACCCAACCTAGAAGTTCTAAATCTTAAGCAAACTTAAAAATACCTTTTCTTTTAATAAAATAAAAGCAGAAAAAAAAAATCTGATTGTATTAAGAAATTTGTTCTGGAAACTTATTAACAAGTCAATGGCAAAAACTCTTACTATCCATTATGCTGACACTTGAAACAGATGCAATAATTTTTGTGAGTAAAAAAACCAAGTAAACTAATAAACTATGGGTTGGTCATCACATGTTACAACCAAGTGTGACTCGGATGGTAACAGGAGTACTCACACAGCGCCTCTGACCTGACTGTGTCCTTATGGTCTCTGAAGCTCCTGGACAACCTACCTTTGGGACAGTTTTACTGCAGACACATACAGGATGTCCTTTTATCCTGTCTTCTTAAAGTCTGTATCACTAGTCTACAACAAATAGCAATGAGATAGCTCTAGCAGTAGATGAAGGAAGAGGATAGCTGCATTCTAGAAGAAACATTTATCTGTCTTTTGATCCAAGCTTCTCAATTAATTCCTGAAGAGGTGCCAGCTCACGCCTGTCAATCAGATTAAACTCCTAAAAACAGAAGAAAAGAAATAAAATTTAAAACTGGACCTAAATTCAAACTCTAAATGTTTCTGAAAGAGATTTCCAATCCTAGTTTTCTTAAATTCAAAAGAAGGATAAAAAAAAAACCAAAAACAAATACAAAAAACAAAACCCAAAAGAACGATCAAATGATGTCTATAAACATTTTAAAACAGAATCGTCTTTACTCTTTTTAAAAACGCAGGTACTATCTTGTGACCTATACCAGCTTCCTCCCTGCTTCCTGACGGACAGCGCCTAAGAAGTGTGGAACGTCTGCAGTGACAGGCATCTCTTGTACGCTAATGTGATGGCTGGTGGCTGTGGGGCCCTGAGAGAACATCAGGTTGGGGTGGTCACTAGGAAGACCAAGGCGTGACAACCAAGGTGCTGGGACTTCACCTACCCTACCTTCCAGTCCTACACCACTACCTTCTAGTGCAGTGATGGCAAACCTTTTGGAGGCCAACGGCCCAAACTGCAGCCCCGAACTCACTAATTTATCACGAAGTGCCAACACTGCAATTAAAATGAATACTGGGCTTTTAGTTTCGAAAAAAACCACTCCTACATTAACAACCTTTGACTTAACTCACAACAGAGCACATATTAAAATGACTCCCTAACTGGAGACCCAGGGAGGCTAGAGGTGGACAGCCCAAAAGTGAGAGTGACATATTTTTTCCCAAACTGGAGATTGAACCCAAGGTCTCATATATGCTAGGCAAGTGTTCTACCACTGTGCTACATTCCCAGTCTTTTATCTACGTTTTTATGTTGAAATAGGGTCTGAGTTGCCCAGGCTGGCCTCAAACTTGCAAGCCTCCTGCCTCAGCCTCCCAAAAAGTTGGGATTACAGGTATGCACTAGACAGCCTGGTGGGTGATACCTTTATATGCTGCTACACAGATCAATAAAACAATGTAGAAAATTAAACAGAAAACACTACTTATCCTTAGCTTCTCTGTGCTCAGAAATCAGCGTGGCTCCCTTACCTGAACAAAGAAAATAAAGTGCTTAAAGGAGGTGTTGAGGTGGGCCTCCTCCTGCAGCTGCATCACAGAGTCGAAGTGCTGGTGGTAAATGTGGGCATAAACCCTGAAGAGGCGTTTTAGAATCGTCTTCGCCACAGACATGAAGTTCTTGGGAAATGGGACACCTGGAGTCAAACGTACACATGCGCATCAGTCTTTTTGTACCAATGAGTGTAACAGCTACATTCATTTTGGGGGAGCTCTATATATTATGTCTACCATTTTCCATCCCCTCACCTCCTCTTCCTAGCTCCCTGCTCCTTCTATCTGCAAAAAGTTTGCCTTTTTGTTTCCTACCATCTTTCATTTATTTTACTTTTACTTATTTATATTCTAGCTTTCTCATATTAGAGAAACCATGCAGTATTTAACTTTCTGTGTCTGACTTACTTCACTTAACATCATGGTCTCAAGTTCCATTTCCTTTTTTGCAAATGACCTACCTTTGTTCTTTATCACTGAATAATATTCCATGCTGCACCACATTTCTTTATCCATTCATATGCTGCCAGGCACCTCAGCTCTTTCCAGAGCTTAACTACTGTAAACTGCACTGCTATAGGTGGGTATTCATATATCACTATACTAGTACGCCTTTAACTCTTTCAAGAGTATACCCAGTGGAGTTTCCACTTTTAGGTTTCTGAAGAATCTCTATATTGATTTCTACAGTAGTTGTACTAGCTTTTACCTAATATTCAGCAGCAGATTTAGACACTTCCATGACCAACTGCAACACACGAACACTCACAAACACACACAGGCCTATTACTGTGTACTTAAGAGGCACAGGAAGAAAATCCCCAAACCACAGGCCACACTTTTATCTTCTAAATTACCTGGAAAGCGAAGTTTTCATTTTCCTGCTGCCTAAAAATAGAGTGTACTTCCTAAAAAAGGAGGAGAGGACCTCCCTATTTTTCAAAGAAAATAAGCATCTCTTTAGGGATAGAGAGGGTTTAGTGCACTATCTTGAATAGTGGAGTCATCTCACGGATGCAAATGGATACATTCTTGAGGATTCGGCTGAGAATATCAAAGTCTCTCAGGAAATGGAAAGAGGATAGACATTCCAACTGCACTGGCTACAGTAGTAAGCGCTAAGAAGGCATCTGCATCCAAAACAACAGAGGTTCGTCTGCCTTAAAGGCCCATTCCTTGATACAACTCTGGAAACACCTTTTTTCAACCTTTCAGAAAACAGACTTACTAAAACATTCTTTCCCTGAATTGTTTTCCTTTTCCCTTGGCCAGCCAGCCCTTAGCAGCCTGAAGTCTGGTATATATGGCTGGGTTTTGTGTTTATTCCTCCAAGTCCTGGCTAACTTGACTTTTCAAGTATTATACAGGAGTATATGGACATGTTTGAGCACAATCCTGTGATCATGTATTGAAAAAATCTTTTAAAAATCAAACCCCTTCTCTCAGAATGTACAAAGAAGTATCTGGTTAATAATATTAATAGCTTGGATATATTAGGAAAAAGCTAATAAACAGTTATGTCTGATAAAATAACTAGCAAAAGTAACAGGCAGACAACAGCCTAATGGGGATGGGGGGGGGTTCCAGAACATGAGAGTGAATTAATGAAAAACAGGATGCTGAGAAAAAGAAGGATGAAATAAAAAAATTTCTTTATCTCCCATAAAGAGGAGACCATCAAGAACAAATAACTAATTTGTTTTAATCTAAATACTTTCCAAGCTATATGTAAAAGATATTCAAATAGAGTCAATATATAATAAAGAATTATAAGGAAAAGGTTTAATAACACAGCAGAAAAAGTGACCAACATCAAACAGATCAAGTGGAACAAATAGTTGATACACATTTTTGCTATCATCACTGTAACTCAGCATTGTTCTGGAAGTAGTCAGTCATTGCAGTTAGGTAAGCATAAAACACTAAGAATACATATCAGAAAGAAAGAGGTCAGATTAACATTATGTTCACATGATGAAGATATATACTTCAAAACCTTAAGAGAACAAAGAATTAATAAGAAAGAGTCTAACGATTACAAAACTCAACAGCTTTCCAATATATCAAATAATAATCAGTTAGAAACCAAATATCACAGCAGGTGTAGTGGCGCATGCCTGTAATCCCAGCACTCAGGAGGCTGAGACAGGAGGATCGCTGTGAGTTTGAGCTAACCTGGGCTAGGAACTGCATTCAAGGCTAGCCTGAACTGCATAGTGAAACCCTGTCTCAAAAACCAAAAAAGAAAAGAAAGCAAGCATCTATAAAAATAATAAAATGTCTAAGAATAAACGGGGTGTGGTGTCTCACACCTGTGATCCCAACACACAGGAGACTGAGGCAGAACAATCATCATTATTAGTTCAAGGCCAGCCTGGGATATACAGTGAGTTCAAGGCCGGCCTAAACTGCATAGTGAGACCCTGTCTCAAAAAACCAAAAGAGGGGCTGGGGATTTAGCTCAGCGGCAAAAGCGCCTGCCTGGCAAGCGCAAGGTCGTGAGTTCGGTTCCCGGTACCGGAGAAAAACAAAAAAAAAAAAAAAAAAAAAAAAAACCAAAAGAAAGAAAAAACCCAAATGCCTAGGAAGAACCTTAAGGAGCTTTAAGGATTAACATAAAATAGAATTTTACAGAGGAAAGAAGACTTAGTAAATAAAAGACAGGAATAAGTGAAGAATATCTTATTCTTGGCTAGAAGACTTAGTATAAAGAGAGTAAGAATATATTTGCGTATAAAAGTTAGATGCAATCTAAAGATTTTATTTATTTATTTATTTTACCTTGAGAAAATGATTCTAAGTTCCTGGGAAAGACAAATACCTCAGAAGAGCTGTGAATATTCTGAAAAAGAAGAGAAAGGAAAGGAGACTACCCTTGTAACATGGTAACAGATACATGGCCATGTGAATGAAAACTGAAATTTCCATAGGAAACGATAAAGAGATTAAAAGACGCCCAGTATGGTAATTTATCCTGCACGTAAGGTCATCGTGGCAGAAAAGACACATGTTATTCAATAAGGGAACTGGGAAAAACTGACTATATTTTCAGTTTGGAAAATAATGAAAGCAGCATTCAGAGAAAAAACTCTTGACAGAGCAAAGTGTTAAATGGAAAAAAATATCACAAAAGTACTAAATGAAAAACATAAGCTTTTTTATAATCCAGAAGTAGGGAAAATTTTTTTCATCAGTGTATTAAAACTCAAGTCATGGGAAATGTAAGACAAAATGAGAGATGTACAGAGCAAAATAGTCCATCAACAAATCAGACAAAAGACAATGTAGGAAAATGACAAAGAGCTAATATCCCTGACATAGAAATGGACAAAAGATATAAATAGAAAACATACAATGATAATAAAACAAAATACATTCTATCTTATCACTATTTTGTAAATGTACACTGAAGAAAAATGTATTCCCTCGATTTGCAAAAGATCACATTTTTTAAAAATCAGGAATAAAGTTCAGACCAAGTTCTCCTCTTAAAAATTCTGACATCTACACATGCTTTAACATCAACTGCTGTATGAAAGTGGTATTAATAGTCCAAGTAAAGAAAATAAAGTAGTTTTGGAATCTGAAAAAAAAAGTGAGTAATAATCAGTATGGTAAAGGAACACAGGCAAGGCCAGGCACAGTGGCACATGCCTGTAATCCCAGCACTTGGGAGGCTGAGGCAAGAGGATCACTGCAAGTTCAAGGCCAGCATGGCCTACATAGCAAGACTGTGTCTCAAAAAAAAGGGCCCCCTCCCCCCACAAAAAAGAAATACAGGCATACAAACATTCTAGAGGGTATATATACTGGTACAAACCTTTTGGAGAAGAATATGGCAGTCTCTAATTTTTTTTTTTTTTTTGGAGATAAGGTCTCACTAAGTAGCTCAGGTTGGCCTTGAACTCAGATAACCCTGGCTCCTAAGTGCTAGGACTACAGGAGTGTATCACCATGCCTAGCTCTAGTACTTTAAAGTAACAGAGTATTAAAGAAGACTACAGAATTCGAGAGAAAAATAGTTCTACAACATTAACTCACCAATCTTAGAAGGAAAAAGAGTTTCATCATCAAGCTGATCCTGAACCCAGGTCATCAAGTAGTCGATGTATTTTGGTGCAGAACATTTGATCGGCTTTTTAATATTAGTACCATCTGCCCAGTGATATTCATACCTGGAGAGAAGTATGTTTTACTGATAGTTTTCAAAAACATTAGTAAATGGGCAACCTCACATTTTGTTAAGAGAAACTATGTAACTTTAATAAATTACCTAAAGTTCTACTGAAGATTACCGTAAATTCCCTACAAATTATTCTGAAATGTGACGGCTATGACGGGAAGAGAAGAGGGAGACAGAAAGTGTGCTGTAAGACAGCCTGGGACAGATGCAGGAACTGCACTCCTATGTGCAAGGCAGAAAGACGCTGAGGGCTATGTGAGCAGGGGGATGGACCCTCCGCGTTCTGAGACTCTTGGCCATAAATTATCATCAGTGCCACGATGATCAAATCCTGTTTCTTGGAAACAGTCTTAGAGAAATAACATTTTTAGCCATGTGTATTTTTTCCTTTGCTGGGCTAGAATAATCAATAAGATTTATGCAAAATTTCTCCAGGCATTTAAGCCACAGACAAGTTTCTATTTCTTATTCATTTGAAATTCTTTTAAAGTTTGATGAATGAAACATAAAATAACAACATCCCTCCTATAATGCAACAAAAATAGGATCAAAAACCCATCGGGGATCTTGTTTCCTTTATACTATAGAAAAGTCAAAGTACAAGAGACAAACACCTTGATACTATTTATTGTTACATAAAGCCTGTTATTTCTTATAAGAAAAAACACTGTAAGAAACAGCAAAATAGTAATCCCATCACAATCTGACCTAACATTACAGTTGATAAAGAGTCGTATACTCTTTCATTTTTTTCCAGTTTATTACAGTCAAAACCCTTTTTAACCAAGCATCTTTAACCCAGGTAATTACTTCTAAATTGTGCTGCTGTTCATTCTTGTACTGCTAAATAAGCACAAGAAAAAATAATCAAATATTTAAAAACCAACTAAGAACTTACAAAAATTCACTTAAAAGCTAGCAAGAAACCATAAATATTAAGCAAATGAAAAAAAAAAAAAAAACAGAAGTTTTGGGATACAAAATAAACATATTTCAAATTTCTATACTTTCATTCCTACAACAGAACATTCAAGAGTTACTGGGACACAATATAAAAAATCAAACACTGATTAACCGCATACCAAAGTATTTAGAAATAACAGCTACAGTCAATATTCATGAACTAACAAAGTGGAATCAACTTTACATAAGCAAACATATAATAAAAACAAAAACAAATCTATTATTTACATATCCATTGGTGATAAAGCAAAAGTAACCCCAACGCCGCTCTAACAGGCTGCCGTACCTGGGGCCTGCAGACATAACCGGGCAGCTTGCTTCTGTGCAGAATTCTGTGATAGTTCCATACAGCATGTTGATTTGGTTGAAGAAATCCACAGCTGCAGAGGTAAAGGCAGAACTGTGTTAAATGTCTGGGTAAACATAACAAAAAAGTCAGACTTCTCAGTTGAAGGAAAACAACGGGTAATCTTTTTTTTTTTTCAGATGGGGTCTTACTGGCCTCAGACTCCCAAGCTCAAGTGATCCTCCTGCCTCAGCTTCCTGAGTAACTGGAACTACAAGTACATACTCTCTTGGCAAACTAAACATGAACTTTTAATATATTAAACTTTTAACTAGCATAAGAATAGAAAAGTAAAATAGTGGAGACAAGCTTAACTTAACAGTGATTATTATGTCATCACAATGTATACTTTGATTACAGTAAGGCCCTAACTTACGAACAAGTCTGGTTCCAGGACAGCGTTCCTAAGTCAGATTTGTATAGGATCCAGCAAAGTGAATTTTACACAGTACACCTGTGAAAAGTTCGCAACTTGAATGTTCGCATGTCGGGGACTTGCTGTATATCCAAGAGGATAAAAAAACGAAAGCTTCTTATCAATCTGAATCAAAAAATGATTTGTCAGAAAAAAGTAAAAAAGTATTGTGGAATATACTGTGAGGGAGAAGGCATACCAGCTATAGCAACAGGCCTTGAAGACATCTAATTCAGCATAAACATTTGAGGCCTAAAAAAGCCCACTGAAGACATAAAAAAGAACAAGTCTTTCACCCTAGCGCCTCCAGCTAACAGAAGGGATAAAATTTTTTAAAGTGAGTACTGTAAGATACAGTATAAGAAGACAGGATCCATCCAAGTGAAGTGGTGCACATGTATGATCTCAACTACTTGGGAGGCTGAGCCAGGAGGATCACAAGTTGGAGCCCAGCCTGGGCAACTTGGCATGACCCTGTAAATGAGTATCAATTGATCTATCAATTGGGACTGTAGCTCAAGGGTAGAGTTCTTGCTTAGCATGTGAGGCCCCATGTTTAAGAGTTAGCACTGCCTTTACACAAAAAACAAAAAGGACCCAGAGGCAACAGTAAATTCAGGGGAAAGGCAAAGAGCTGAGGTAATTAGGGAGTAGTTCCTACATGAGCTTGAGTTAAATCTGGAAGAAAATGGAAGAGGATGGGGCAACTAATAAACCTGAGTGAGCAAAGTATAACTATTCTGTGCACAGAGAGTCACATGAAATTTGGGAAGTTTTCTAAGCACTTTGGTCCTCTCCTGCAATCAGGAGGGTTTGTCCAAGCTTCTTAAAAAACAGACTTAAAGAAGTTCACCTTGGGCTGGGGATTTAGCTCAGCGGCAAAAGCGCCTGCCTGGCAAGCGCAAGGTCGTGAGTTCCGTTCCCAGTACTGGAGAAAAACCAAAAAAAAAAAAAAAAAAAAAGTTCACCTTGTCAAAAGGAATTTTACATAAAACTCCCTCATCTATAGCCCTTCCTCTTAATTAGTCATGTTTCTAAGAAAGTATCATTTAAGCCCCAATAATCCTGCAAAACAAGTATGCCAAGATGGTAGCTGTTCTCAGGCAGTGGCACAGGGACTAGGGACTCCCTGACTCAGGGCGGATCTGTGAGGCCAAAACCATTTTAATTGCTACTGTCAGTCTCTTTCTGTCAAGAGGGTATAGTGGAATTTTTCAGGGGCTCCTGAATGCAGAAGCAAATCTGAGAATCTAAATGTCCATTAATCCAGGCAGTACATAAGATTTACAAAAATATAAAACAATGTCTTATTTCTCTCTGAAATTGGTTTTGGAGAACACTTCTAAATAAATATATTAACATGTAATGGATTTATTATTTTTAAATAAGCTAGTATTTAAAATTTATAACACAGTAAAACTAATTACATTATAGTCAAAAGTTCCTTGAAGTTCTCAATAGTTTTCAAGAAAGAAATGGGAACAAGAGATCAAAAGGTTTGAGTCAGGCGTGACGGCACAGACCTGTAATCCCTGCACTCGGGCCTGAGGCAGGTGGACTGCTGCAAGTTCAAGGGCAGCCTGGGCTACACAGTGAGTTCTGGGGCTGCCACAACTGCATAGGTAGACCCTGTCTCAAACAAACAAACAAACAAAAGTCTGACCTGATTTACAGTGGCATGTCTCAAAGAAAAACCTAAGGCCTCCGAAAGATGCAATATCATTTAAATAAAGGTTTAAAAAAGCTTTCTCTTAAATAATACTTTATATGGCTCAAATATCAAAAAATATGAAAACTACTGAGTTGAAAAAAAAAACCCTTAAATTCCAGCTACTCTAACACATGTAACCATTTCATTTTCTGTCTCCTTTCCCCTCAGTTTATCATTTCTTGTACAAAAGATCACATACTACATAATTCTGCACCTTTTCTCTCAGCAATATGAATATGGTATTTTAACAAGAAAAATAAAAAAAACTTTAAATGCAGTTATGAGAAAACTTAAATTACACATATAGCTCACATAAGGGTTTTATCCAAATGCACTGATGAAGACAATGATTATTCAAGGCCAGTGTGAACTACATTGTGAGACATTGTCTCAAAAAGCCAAAAAAAAAAAAAAAAAATCAAGTTGATAAGAGCAACAAAGATACTTAGTAAAAATCTTCTGTATCAAAAATCTGATTCTAAATGTTATATGAAGAAGCAAAGTAGGAAGACTGACACCACTCAATTTCAATACTTCCTAATGATGACAGAACAAATAATTCAATGGACTAGCGTAGAGAACACAGAAAGAGACCCACTGGGCTTTGACAAAGGAACAGAGTCAACACAAGCAGAAGACAGTTTTCAACAAATAGTGCTAGAACTACTGGACATCCATATGCAAAAAGATGAATCTAGCTGGGCACAGCAGTGCACGCCTGTAATCCCAATACTTGAGAGGCTGGGGCAGGCGGATGGCTGCAAGTTTAAGCCCAGCCTGGGCTACACGGACTTTACACCCTTTATGAAAATCCACTCAAAATCTGTAATAGACCAGAATGCAAAATGCAAAAGTACACAACTCCTAGGAGACATTGGAGAAAAAGAGGAGAAAGTCTAGGTGACCTTGAGCTTGGCAATGACCTTTAAGATCAAAGGCATAATTTATGAAAGCACTGATAAACTGAACTTCATTAAATTAAAATTTCCCACTCTGCAGAAGAAACTGTCGTAAGAGTGAAAGACAAGCAGCAGGCTAGAAGAAAATATTTGCAAAAGACATACGTGATAAAGGCATGTGATCTAAAATATACAAAGAACTTTTAAAATTTAACAAACAATAATACACAACTAAAAAAATGAATCAGATCTTAACAGACAACTCATCAAAGATACACAGACAGCAAATAAGCACGTGAAAAGATGCCCCACACCAAATGTCATCAGGGAATGCAAATTAAAATAACAAGACAGCACTACTTAGTTATTTGGAATGGCCAAAATCCAGAATATTGACAATACCAAAAACTGGGAAGGCTGTCGAGCAACAGCAATTCTTATTCATTGCTAGTAGGAAACAAATGATCCAGCCACTATGAGAGACTGATGGTTTCTTACAAAACCAGTCTTGCCATCCATCTGGTCACTGTGCTTCTTGGTATTTGCCCAAAGGATTGAAAACTCAAGCCTGTGCAAAAACTGCACACATCTGTTTACAAAGGCTTTATCCGAAACTTTATAGTCAAAAGTTCCTTGAAGTTCTCAATAGTTAGTTATCTATTATCTAATAGTTAGTTATCTAACTATCAATAGACAGTTATCCATATAACTATCTAAACTTGGAAGCAACCAGGATATTTTTCAGTAGGTGAATGGATAAATAAGTTGTGATATATCTAGGAAACGGAATACTTAGGGCTTAAAATAAATCAGATGTCAACTACAAAAAGACATGGAAGAAACTTAAATATTATTAAGCAAAGAAGTCAGTACGGAACAGCTATATACTGTCTGACTCAGACTATATGAAGACATTCTGGAAAAGGCAAAACTATGGAGACAATAAAAATCAGTGGTTGTCAAAAGTTGGGGGTGGAGGGAGAGAGAACAGGTAAAGGATAGAGGATTTTGAGTGATTCTGTGATGATATTATAGTGATGAAAATGTTGTCATAAACTCATCCAAACTCACAACAGGAAGAGTGAATTTTATTGTAAACTACGAACTTCGGGTAATTAAAAAAATACCACTAGACACTATGTATACATATACCACCAGCTATCAAGTAGTTGTACATATAAACAAAATCAAACCACTAGCATGGTTACCACCAGCCACATATGGTTACATTAAAATTTAGCTCTATTAAATTAATAATTCAGTTCCTCTGTCACATTAGCCACATGGCAAGGGCTAAATAGCCACATGACGGTATAGAACATTCTCATCTTTGCAGAAAGTTCTACAGGACAATGCTGCTCCACATCTAATGTTACAGGAGATAAAAGGAGAAACGGAACAGGATAATGGATGCCTTGGGGATAGACTCAGCAGATTCATTCTGTGGAAAACAAATGACCTGGTTTCTTCAACAACAAAGAAAGAGCAGGGAAAAAAGACTGCAATGAAGAGAAACCTGTCAATTAAGAGATTCGAGAAAACATACATACAGGCCCTGTTGGATCCTGATTAAAACCAAGCTTAAATTAACAGAAAGAAAAATATTAAATAGGACAATCAGGGAAATGTAAACAGTAAGTAGGTAATTTGAGAACGCTAAAGGATGATTCTGTATGTGTGTGCATGTATGTGATATGGGGACTGAACCTAGGACCATGAGCATGTTAGGTAAGCATTCTATCAATGAATGATACTCCGACCCTTTTTAAGTTTTATTTTGAAACAGGGTCCTGGGCTATCCCAGACTCAGCTGCCTAGGCTGGCCTCAAAAATCATGATCCTCCTTTTGTCTTTTGAGATATTTATAGATGAAATAAAATGTCTGGGGTTTCCATCAAAATAGTCAGGGGGCATAAAGAAGCACAATTATTCACAAGTTGATTTTTATTGAAGCTGGATAATGGTACCTAAGAATTCACTGTCCTAGTTTCTCTATTTTTTTATGTCTGAAATTTTCCATTAAAAAGTCCCCAGAACTGATCTCACCTCAGAAATGAGAGGCTCTCACATTCAAATCTCTAGCCTGAGCACATCATTCTACTACGTCAAGCCCTGGTTCTCTTGAACTCAGCTCCTGGATCCCTTCATTTTCTCCTGGTCTTTCAACTTCTTTCTGAGAACTCCTAACTCACAACAAACAACTGACTGCCCACAGGAACTGCCATGGATTTTTGTGACTGTGAAGGTCAACCAGTGCTGCCGGGAGTGGAGGCAAAACTGTGCAATGGATTCCTACAAACACATGGTCCCTGGGGGAGAATCTCTGCTTTTATCAATCATTTATTTGACCTTATTCAGCGTTCCATGGTATTTTCCCCAGGAAGGACCCTGAAGCACTCATCACTTTTCAAGCCTCTCTACTCAACCTCACAAGCTACCGAGTATTCTGAAGAACACAGTTTAAGATGTCTTTCTACTTATATTTCTTTAGTTAATGTACTATATCTGTAAGAGAAAATCCATTAACAACAAGATTTTAGCTGGGCATGGTGGTACACACCTGTAATGCCAGCTCTCAGGAGGCTGAGGCAGGAGGATTGCTATGAGGTCAAGGCTAGCCTGAACTATATGGCGAGACCCTGTCTAAAAAAAAGAGAGAGAAAAAGAAAAGAAAATCCCAAAAAAGATTTTAGCAAAATGTTTCTACAAACTAATGAAACTGAGTACTACGAAAAACTTACTGTTCACAGCAATCCACTCATTGAGGTCCTCTCCCTCGGGCAACATAACTGCTTGCCTCAGATTTCCACTTCCCAGAGTCGCTTCTGCATGTTTTAGGAGTTCGTACTGATGAGACCCTTCGGGGATATTCTTCTTGGGCTTGAATGTCTTAGAAGAGCGGCTGCTACTGTTGGGTTAAAAATAAAAATGTATGAATTTTTAGGACTGAAGAAAGCAGAACAGCGTAACTTTAGGTACGTAAGTTCATCTGTGAAATGAAGTAAAAATAATCCCGAAAGATCCCAGGATGGAAAGAGGGGATGATGATCACAACAAAAGAATTTTAGGGCTGAGGGTGTATGTAGCTCAGTAGTACAGTGCTTGCCTCCCATGCATCAGGGTGGGATGTTAGGGATATTTAACTTATTCCCACATGAAAGCCGGACAAGTAGCATAATTTCACAAATTAGTAAAATGTGATACACCCATGCAAAAGTCTGGCATAAAGAGCACTTTTACCAAAAAAACCCAAAAAACCAGATTCTAGTCCTTACTCTGAAGCACTCATCACTTTTCAGGCTTCTCTACTCAACCCCTCAAGCTACCCGTATTCTGAGGAACAGTTTTAGATGTATTCCTATTTATATTTCTTTACAGTTAATCTGTTACATCTATAAGAGCTACATAGCATAAAACTAACTCTGTTAACTACCTGAGAAAGCTTATTTCTTCTAGCCCCAATTACCTACAGAAAGCATAAAGGGAAAGCGCTAACTCTAAGATTCTCACTTTCAGGATCCAGTTTTCCTTATCAAAATATCTGCGTGGCCATCAAAGCAAACCATGGTAGAAGAAATGTTAACATTTTGAATTGTAGCTTGGAAAATGATACAGCTACAATTACCAGGGAAAAGTTTTAATTTCTATTTCACACCATTCACAAGGTGCTCCTAACCTAACACAAAACCTAGAAACTTTAAAGAAAAAAACAGACTGATTTCAAATCACAGCAATTAAAACTTTCCTAATAGAGCAAAAACATAAGTAACAAAGTAACAAAAAGTACATGCAACATACATTACAGAAGATTAGCTGGACAAAAAAGAACTTCTACAACTTGTTAAAGGAACTCTAGAAAAATAGGCTAAGGAAAGGAAAGGGCAACTCAGAAGTACAATGATCAACGAACATGTGAAAAACTGTTCAATTAAAGTAAGATTTATTTTTCTCTGAGTCAACAGAATGATGCTGGGTGGGGTGGCACACACCTGTAATCCCAGCACAATAAGAGGCTGAGGCAGGCAGACTGTAAATTTGAGTCCCACCTAGGTAACCCTGCAATTCAGGGAGACTATGTCTCGAAATAAAACATTTTTAAAAAGCACTGGAGCTGGGCGTGGTGGTGCACGCCTGTAATTCCAGCACTTAGGAGGTTGAGGCAGCAGGATCATTGCGAGTTCAAGACCAGCCTGGGCTACATAAGTGAGTTCAGGGCCAGCCTGAACTGCATAGTGAGACACTGTCTCAAAAAGACAAAATAAATAAATAAAATAAAATAAAATAAAAAAATAAAAAGCACTGGAGTATACAGCTCAGTGCAAAGGCCCTGGGTTCAATCCCTAGTACCAAACAACAAGAACAACAAAAGAAAAAAAGAGTGACTACATTGCTTAAGTATAGAATAGAGAATAGAGAAATTAATACTCTAATCACTATCTGTGGAAGTGTAAAGTACGTAACATTTAATTAGTTCCTCAATCCATCCATTCCATTTCCAGGTATCCCTCCAAGGTATGAATAAAGATTTGTTTTCCAAGATTGTTCTTAACAGTGAAAATCTGGAAACGATCCTAAAGTTTACCAGTACAATAGTAAATAAAAGCTGGGCATGGTGGCACACGTCTGTAATCCCAGCACTTGGGAGGCTGAGACAGGAAGATGGTTGTGAGCTCAAGACCAGCCTGAACTGCATAGCAAGACCCTGTCTCAAAAGGACAAAATAAAGTATGGCACATTTATATCATGTAATATGTTATAGTAGTAAAGAAGGACAGAGAGTAGATATATTCATACAGAATGATTCAAAGCACAGCTAAAGACATCACAGAGCCAAATGAACAGCCGGACCCATTTTAACACAGAGAAGGTATCAGAACAATGTACACAAAGCTGGTGATGACCTTACTTCTAGGAAGGGGAAAGGAAGAGAATTGTAGATCTTCACTTTACTTGAGGAACTTTAATTTAATTATTTAAAATCTTATTTGTACATATTTGTACTACATAATGATCAGATTCATCATAGGGAGTTGGTACATGTGCATAACACATCTTAATTGAATTTTAAATGTGTAAGAAATTTTAAAATATGAAAACACCAAAAATCAAATATGGAAAGTTTTTTTTAACATGGTAAAGAACTACAATGACTAGGAAGATATTTTAAATCAGAAGGACCAGCCCTCTACACATAGGAATGAGCCATAAATGACAAGAGACTAGATATGTAAAACTAACATTAATGATTTCTCAAGATTCACTATGATCTTCATCTAAATTAAAATGTTTGTGCTTCAAATGACATTATCAATCCAATGAAAATGACCCACAGGATGGAAGAAAATATTTGCAAATCTCAGATGGGATAAAGGGACCTGTAGATTAAAGAATAAATAAATAAAGAATTCTTACAAGTTGAAAAACAGGGCAATCCAATTTAAAAATGAGCAAAAGATAGGATCTCAATAGACTTTACTCTAAAGAATATGTACAAATGGTTAATAAACATACAAAAAAAAGTGTTCAACACTGTTAGTCATAAGGGAATTACAAATCAAAATGAAGAAACTCTACTTCACACTCAGATGGCTACTATTAGCAAGTGCTAGAGAGGACGTGGGGAAACTGGAACCCTCATACAGCGCTGATGGGAACACAAAATAGCACAGTGCTTTGAAAAAGTTCAGCAGTTTCTCAAAAAAGGTTGAACACAGGTCGGATATAAATCAGCAATTCCACTCCTAGGTATACACCCAGAAGACAGGAACACACACATCCACTCAAAACCCTGTACACAAATGTTCACGGCAGCACTATGCAAAATAGCCAGAAAGTGGAAACCTCGTGTCCATCAACACCACGAAGTTTCAAAGAAATAAAGCCCAACATTTAGGTCCCAAAGGCAATAACGGAACATCCACAAACTTCTAGATATCAATTCAGACTTGGATGTTCCTTGCGTGTGTAACATTTCCGATAATATGGAAATCAGTAATTAAATTTATTTTTTGATATGAGATGGTCTTGAACTCTCGGTCCTCCTACCTCAGCCTCCCAAGCAGCTGGGATTACAGTACAAGCGTGCACCACCGAGCCCGGTTTAAAATCATAAAGACGTTTTGCAATGATGACCATATTTTGAAGACTACACCCTTCAGAAAATAATCTAAAGGCAGAATAATGAAATTTAGACAGATACTTTTAGTAATGCTGTTTTATAACAGCAATATACTAGAAAGAACCCGTATTTCTCACATTAAAGAAGTAGCTAAACTCTGGTTGTGAAACACTATAACTCAGTAAAATGTAATAAACACGACAAGCAAGTGGATTCCATTCATAACTAAAAATGGTTACTTATTCAATCGTGTAACAGTTTAGTAATATACAAGGTAGGAAACGCTGAGAATAAGGCGCCAGCGTTTAAATCTTCATGTGCGTAAGAGTCAAAAGAGAATTTACAGCCTTGTTCATTTAAGCCTCGTTTGGGCCCACGAATTGTTTCAAACGGGATTCTACCGAAGGCCGTAGTATTTACAGTCACAGATGGGCGAGGGGGCAGAAGCAGCGCTGGACACGAGGGTTTGGCTGCAAAGCTCACAGCTAACTTGGCGAGATTCTCAAGGTAAGGCGCTCCACGCTCTCCTGGGGCTGCATTTTTTGGCGGGGGTAAATTAACCCTGACAATAATGAAACTAAACAATAATGACGGAGTCCAAGAGCGAGGTCAGCGAGGATCGCTACCAGGGACGATCGCAGCTTGAGAGAATCGGGGAGCTCGCAGCCCGGCCGGGCGCTCCGCCCCAGACCGCGTCTCCGCCCTCGGGGCGCTGGGGCGGAAAAGTTCGGAGGCGCAGCCGGCCGCGGGGCCTCTCAACTCCCCAGCCACTCGCGCCACTTCCTCCGCCTCGACCTCCACCTTGGTCGGCCCCGCGCCCGCGCCACTGCCCGGAACCGGGCA